CCCTTTGTGCTGGCAGCGGGGGCAGCCGGTGGGGTCGGAGGCCAGCAGGGCAGAGATGGGCTGCATCAGCATGGGGGGCGTCGGGTCCAGGGGGCTGTGTCCCGGGCACAGCTCTGAAAAGCAAACAGAGGGCAGGGTCGGTGCCTCAGGCCACACTCAGGGCTCTCAGAGGCGGCAGCACCTGCACACCAGGCCCCTGACCCCGGGACAAAGCCTCGGGGTCTGTGCCCACAGGGTCTGCCTGGAGCGTGCCAGCCCCAGGCAGGAGGCCAGGTGGCCTGGTTCCTAAGGAAATGGTTTCGCCTTCTGGGCTTTGCTGGTCCCTGTGCAAAAGCATAAGCCGGGAGCACCCACCACATGGGGCTGCGGGTTCTCTATCGGCTAGTTTGTGTGATGTGCCTAGAACAGTGCCTGGGGCACACATACGTGTTAACTGTCCTTGCGGCATCACTTCCTGGCCTGCGGCTGTGCACTGAGCAGACCCTCCCCAGGCCCCAGACCCTCCCCGCCACCCTGGTTGCTGACATTGTGGTTTGGGAAATGGCTGAAGGGCTTCTCTAAGAGCCAGGCAGGGGCTGGGGGTAGGTGGCCTCGGCGTTCCTCAGGCTTCCTGTCTGCACACGGGGCCTGGGTCCCAGGGAGGGAAGGCGGCAGGAGCCCTGGGCAGGGGGCAAGCCCTCAGGCCCCAGGACCTCCCCCCATACAAGCCAAGAGTCAGGCTGGCTCCGGGGAAGGAGGCAGGACAGGCCACTGGGCCGCGGGGTGAGGGTCGGAGCTGCCCAGGGAGGGGCCGGGACCTGAGTCATGTGATCTGTAAAGCCTTTCTAAGAGGAGCCGGAGAGGCTCTCCCTGGGTGGTTCGGTTTCTTCTTCATGTTTGTCTGTATTTCCCTAGAATGAACACGTTTTGTTTGTGAAAGGGGAAGAAAAAACATGTAACGCCGACTTTCACTTCCACACTTGCCTCCGAATATCTCCCAACGCCCTGGACAGGAGTCATGCCCGGGAGCCGGGCCAGGTGTCAGAAGCCAAGGGGTCGGTCCCACCTCAGCTGGCGGACAGGGCAAAGCCTCCTCCCCTCCCCCAACCCCCCTTCCCCACATGGACTCTGGGTGGGGCTCCCTGACACTTGTGTCCCAGGGGGGAGGGGCAGGCACCGAGGCCCAGGGCAAGAGCACCTCTCTCGAGGGGTCCCCTGGGACTTCCCTCTGCGCAGGTTCCCTGGAGAGGGGCGTGGGCAGGAGCAGGAATCCCCTTGCAGTAAACACCCTGCCCCATGTCACCCAAGAATGCTGGTGCCAGCCTTGCCCAGAACCCAGCTAGTTCCCCATCCGAGTGCTGGGCCCGCCCACGGCACCCTGGAGCCCCCCCAAGACCACACCTGGACATGTGGTGCCCAGGCTGGTGGCTCCGAGCATGAGTTCTCCGCCTGCCTCCTAAGAATCGCAGGTGCCCGGAACGTGGGACCCCAGTGCACAGGGTCTCACCCTCACTTTTCAGGGGGATACTGAGGCCCACAGAGGGGCCAGGGCTGTCCCAGGTCGCACACCTGCGCCTGCTCCGGGCACAGTCCTGACACCTGCTGACTTCCATCTTGGCACCAACCGGGGCGGGACTGGGCCTGGGGTGGGGCCCACCTGCTGGGGCTCATTTGCCTCCTCCCGGGGCTCATTTCTCCACTGAGCCCAAACTCTGACATCCCTGACACTGAGCTTTGGTCACTGACATACTGTGCGGCCGAAAGTGGCTCCCTTCATCCTCTCTGGGGACAATACTGCTCACTCTGCCCCCTCTCAGGTCTGTGACAGTCAGGTAAGCGAAGAAATGGGCCTAAGGCAGATCGCGGAGCGGCCGGTGTCCCCACGGGCCCAGCCCTTTGTCCCTGGTGGCCAGGCGTCACTGCTCAAGTGTGCTCGCAAGCATGGGGTGGCAGCAGGAGCCCATGCAGGGGTGACTGCAGTGGGCGGGTTTTACAGAAAATCACTCCTGTCTCTCTAGTGTGGATCCCAGGGGCGGAGCCTGAGTCCACGTGCGAACCAGACTGGGGAGGGAATTCCTCCAGGGCCGGGACTACGTCCCCTGAGCCCAGGGCCAGCCCAGGCCAGGCACTGGCAGGTGGTCAGGAAAGAGGGGGAGGGCACGAGGGGTCGGGCTGGACCCCCCAGGGGAGATCTGGGATCTCAACCTGCTGGACTGGCCAGCTCTGCTTGTGCTGGGGAGACAGGGAGACGCGCTTGCGAACTGTGCCGTGGGGAGTCCCCGATGGAGGCCCACGTGGGGCACCGAGGCCACGGGAGGCAGGACCACTTACTGAAGTGCCTGGGCTCCTTGGCGCGGGGCGCGGGCTGGGGGGAGGCGGGGCCCCCCGGGCCTAGGGCCTGGCGCCGGCTCTGCAAGGCCTGGTAGAAGCCCAGGGCGCGGCGCTTGGCCTTGCGCAGGATGTGGCAGACGTACTGGAAGATCTCCTCGTAGCAGTCGCCCGGCTCGGCGTAGCTGGCCACCGTGCTGGAGGACAGGTAGCGCTGCCGCTGCTCCAGCATCAGCCGGTGCTCCCGCTGCTTGGTCTCCGAGAACTGGGTCGCTATGACAACGAGGCACAGGTTGATCATGAAGAAGGAGCCCACCTGTGACCAACGGGAGGAGAGGACAGGGACGGAGGGGACAGAGGGTGGGGAGAGGCAGAAGTGAGGGTGGGGCGAGAGGGAGACAGAGATGGAGACAGACAGGGACACAGAGATGGAGGCGAGTGAGGAGGCAGAGCAAGAGCAGAAAGGGAGACAGGAGGAGGGGCAGATACGGGACAGAACAGGGGAAGGAGACAACCAGGCAGACAACCAGGGACAGCAGGTGCACAGAGAGCAAGAACAAGGAGAGACACCAACAGAGAGAGAGAGAGAGAGAGAGAGAGAGAGAGAGAGAGAGAGGCTCAGAGAGGATGGGGACAGAGGCCACGGGAGACGCAGAGACGCAGTGACGGGGCAGCAGAGGGAGACGGAAGGAGGTGGAGGGCCCGGAGAGACGGAGGGGCACAGCACAGGCAGGGACAGGAAAAGAGCGCTGAGGCCTTGCTCCCAGAGGATGTCAGGGCCGCAGGCGGCCGTGGCCCAGGCAGCTCCCCAGGCTCCACGGGGACCTGCTCCAAACCCGCTCCCCTCGGACCCCAGCTCTGGCCTCACTGCCCTCCCACCAGGGACTCAGCCCTGAGGCCCCTCCCAGGCCTTCCGGGCCCTGAGGCCCATGTCTGCTCTCTCTGACCTTGCCTTTGGCCCCAGCTGGGCATCCAGACAAGAGCAGAGGAGCATCCCTGAGAAGCTTTCGCTGGAGGGGCCCTATCTGAGCTTGGAAGTGGGGGGGGGGGGGGCGCTAGGAATTCTTGCCACCTCTAGTCCCAGGGCTCAGCTCCAGGGGCCCCTCCTGCTCCGGTTTCCAGAGGGTGGGCCCCTCCCAGGCATTTACTAAGCCTTTGCGTGGGCTCAGGCCCTGCCAGTGAGGGGCGGGGTGGTGGCTTTTCATCCTCTTCCAGGCTGCCCACCAGGAGTTCCTGCAGGCTGAACCCGTCACTGATTCACCCTTCCCGCCTCTCCCCGACAGCACGGCTGGGGAGCTGGCGTTCTGGGGCCATGAGGAGAGAGCTTCCAGGCCGAGAGGACTCTGGGAAAATTCCCAGGTAAGAACAGGCCCCACTCGTTCACACTTCCTGGGGACCTGCTCCGTACCAGCCTGTGAGGAGTTCAGATCCTGCCCTCTGGAGCTCACACCTGTCAGCCTTCTACCCAGCCTGCCCCTGGACCTCCATTTCCCCATCTGTAAAATGGGAGGCTCAGCAAGACCAGCTTAGGACTTCTGTAAGCAGAGGGAGCCCTGGGGATCTGGGTCTGAGGACTCCTCAGGGGCATGGCGGGCACCTCACCTCTCCGGGGTGCCGGCTCCTCATCTGCGGAGCGAGCAGGTGGCCCTGCATGGCCAGGGTTGAGGGGGTAAATGCCCGCACAGCCCCCCAGGCTCTGCCTGGACTGGCCCTGTTCCCCATTTCACTGTGAGCTCAGGAGTGGAGGGGCCTGCTCTGGTCCACTCAGGAGTTACCGACCCAGAATCGGCCCCGAACTCCACCCTGAGGAGGAGCCAGAGCATCCCTCAGCCTCCCTCTGGAATCCGAGGCTTCTCTAGCCACCCCAGTGGGTCATGTCCCCCTGCAGGAGGGTCTGCCTGCGTCAGGGCCTCTGTGAACGCCCCCGCCCAGAAAGCTGTCCCTCTGGCCGTCACACCCACCCCCCATTTCCCTCACCCCCGAGCCTTTAAGGCTCAATTCTGGTGTCACCTCCTCCGGGAAGCCTCCCACTCCCCCACCCTCCTCTGAGCTGGCGTAAAGCCTTCTCGGGTGCCTCACTATCATGGCTCCCTAGATGCTGTCGCTGTACCCATCTTCCCCATGGAACTAGGAGCTCCCCCCGGCAGGGCCTGTCTGACCCCCGGCTCAGCCCCCAGCTCTGCCCAGGGCCGGGTGCAGTGCAGGCCTCCCTGAATGTGCCGGGGAGACACTGAACCAACTGGGGGGTGAACGGCGGCTCTGAACAAAGCCTGCTCCTGCCTCCTTTTCCCCCCGGGTGACTCCTATGGGTCCACGGCCCCAGCCTCCCCAGGTAGGCACGGAGCACAGCCAACAGCAGGTGTGTCTCAGGTCACCTGTCAGCTTGCCCTGAACCCCCAGGTCAAGGTCCCACCAGCCCAGGATGGGGTACTGCCCCAGAGGGTCATTGTGCCCTCTCCCACCCCAGGAGGCCAGAGAAGCCAGCTCACAGCAGAGGGCGCCGGCAGCCACTCCCCCAGGAGTGAGTCACCTTGACATTTGGGGACTGTGTGGGGACAGTGGCTGCAGCTGCAGTCAGACACGACACGGTGGATGCGCTTCTCGGGGGAGACTGTTGGGGGGAGGCAGGCGGGGCCCGGTAGGGGGGTGAGGCGATGGAGCGCCTCCTCGGTCTCCAGGTCCCCCCACAAGGCAGGGCTGCCTGTGAGGGGGGGACCCTCCCAGAGTCTCGGGGAGCTCCGCCAGGTCACAGCAGGCTCGGTCTCCTCTCCAGAGCCTGCTCGGGGAGCAGCCCGGGCCTCCGGCTCGGAGCAGCCGGGACAAGAGGGCTAAGCCGGAGGTGGAGAGCTCCCATCCTGGGGCTGCACCCGGCTCAGGTCAATGAAAAGCATGTTTTCCCAGGGACGACGAGGCCGCGAAACAGGAGCGGGAGCCGGGGGTGGACTCAGATGCCAGAAGGAGAAATGAAGACAATCGGAAGTGATGGATGCCTCCAGTACCGCCCCTGACAGCTCCCTTCCATCACCCGCTGCTGAGCTGCATTTAAAACACTGCTCCCCCGCCCCCGTTCTCTCCCACCCAGTCTTTCTGGCTCCGAGGAGCTCCCCGGGGACTCCCAAAGACCCCCCGCCTGCCCCCTGGCCCGTGGGTCCTCGAGCTTGCCCGGACGGCCCCGGCTCCTCGGACACTTACTATGATGAGCAGGATAAAATAGATGAAGTTGTAGAAGGAGTGGGCATCCATCACGTAGTACATGATCTCCACCCAGCCTTCCAGAGTGATCACCTGCAGCCAGGACAGAGCAGAGGGGAGGGCGAGCCTGAGCCAGGCCGATTCTCAGGAAGGGCAGGCAGCAAAGGCAGCGCCCCAGACAGAGGCCCTACTGTGTGCCAGGACGCTTGACACGCATTACCTCTCATACAGGCCAGCCGTCGTCATCCTCATTATACAGGTGAGAAACTGAGGTTCAGAGAGGTTAGGGCACCTGCTCAAGATCACACAGCCAGGGAGTAGAACAGAGGCTTGGTCCGATCCCTGTCGCTCCAGAGCCCACCCCCTTCCCAGTCTACCACACCCTGCAAGTAGGGGTCCCTGGTCTCCGGCTCCGGCTCTCTCTAAACCTCAGCTGCTTCTCCTCCGTGTATGGGGCTGTGGAGCCCACCCAGCAGGGCTGCCTGCAGCTCAGCAGAGCCTTGGAGTGTGGCAGTGATGAGGCTGGTGTGACTGTCCCCACATACTCCTTCCGGAAGAGGGAGGCAGAGCGACACACACAGGGTCCTCCGCCCCGGCTCTGCTGTCTGCTCACTGCTGGCAAACACACGAGCAGGTGGCCCCTGGGCAGCCCGCCTCCCCTCTCCAGCCAGAGGGTCCCAGGGTGCAGCGCTGGGCTGTGGTCACATCACACCTGGAAGCTCTGAATTCTGTGGTCCTGCTGCTCCCCAGAGCAAAGTGAGCGGAGCAGCCCCCCAGTAAGGCCCACCCCTCCTCAGGGGCTTCACGCCACCACTCCTGCTCCTGCCCCTCCTTCCTGCTGTCCTCAGTGACCTTACTGAGCACTCCTCACACACGGGGCTGACCGCTCTGCTCACATTATCTGGCCTATTTTTCTCTGCCACTCAAGGTCGGGGAGCTGTTACCCACAGCCCCCCAGTAAGGCCCACCCCTCCTCAGGGGCTTCACGCCTGCTCCTGCCCCTCCTTCCTGCTGTCCTCAGTGACCTTACTGAGCACTCCCTGCACATGGGGCTGACCGCTCTGCTCACATCATCTGGCCCATTTTTCTCTGCCACTCAAGGTCGGGGAGCTGTTACCCATTTTAGGGATGTGAAAACTGAGGCACAGAGACATCAAGCAATATCCCCAAGGTCCTACAGCCCTTTCTTTGAACCTCAGTTGCTCTGTCTATAATGTGGGTATGACAGTGCCTATTGTGCCAGCAAGTCGGGCAGATTTCAATGAAACAAGTGGCAAATGCCTGCCTAGCACAGAGCCCTGGCGGCCAGGTGAAGCTGCTCAATCCACCCCACCCCACGAACCCCCAGCCCCCAGGCCCCAGCATCGGGGCTAGTGTCTCGCCTGGAAGATGACGATCCAGGCATAGCCGATGTTGTCGAAGTTGATGGCCCCCTTGTGGGGGTTGGCGCTGCCCGTGCGGCACACGTTGTAGTAACGGTTCCAGTTGACACAGAGCCCGCTGGCGTTGAGGTCCTGGCGCCCCGCCCCGAAGTCGTAGACGTCGTCCTTGGACAGGCAGCACTCGCGGCCCTGCTCCTTGAGCGGAGGGATCTCATGGCAGCCCATGATGCCGTTGTCCCCCGAAAGGGAGCAGATGAAGGGCATCTCGTCGTCCTCCTCCGGCTGGTAGTAGGGGGGCAGGGCCACATCCCCTTGTCTGTCCGAAGGTGATGGTGGGCAAAAGAGGAGAAGGGGAGGGGTCACTGCTATGGCCTCCAGGCCTTTGCACATGCTGTTCCCTCTGCCTGGGATACCTTTCCCACCTCTGCCATGGCCACAAAACACGACCCTCCCCCTGCCCCCCGGAACCACTGTGGTCAGTTCCAGGGTCACCCACCCCCCAGGAGGATTCCCTGAGGGAGCCTTCTCAGGATCAAGCAGGACTGATCCTGGGCCCCCTGTGGCCAGACTGTACCCTGCACACGCCTCCACTATTGTTCCTGGGGCACATGTACTCAACTCCCCTGGGAGGCTGGGCTGTTTTAGGACAAAGACTGGGTCTCAGTACTAGTCCCCACACACTGTTTGGTCAGTGCAGAGTAGGTGCTCAATGAACAGATGCTGAGATTTACTGACCCACCCTCCCCATTGATGGGCCTCGGACTGGTCACTTCCCCTCTCTGGCTTTCCATTTCCTTATCTGAAAAACAGAGATAACAATCCCTGCCCTGCCTCCTGCAGGGGTCATCTGTGATTCACCAGAATTCCAACCAAAACCTCAACAGGATTTTGTCTGTGGAACCTGGCCAGATAGTTCTAGGATTTATCTGGATGAGAACAGTCAGGACAATTTTTTAAACAAGAAATGTGAATGGAGTACAGCCCTGCAAGACAGCAATATACAAACTATGAATGCAATGATATTGTAACCAGAACAGAAAGAATCCTGGAATATCACAGTGCACAGGGGAAAGCCCATGTTTAAAAGAGAACTTAGTATATTACAAAGATACCTTTTCAGATCCATGGGGAATGGAAGGACGAAACAATAAATGGTGTTGGGACCATTGCTATCCATTTGGAAAATAATAAAGATAGATCCCTACCTCACACCATACACACAATAAAGCAAGTTGGAGAAAAGAAAATGTTATTAAGAAAATCCTGCCCTGGCTGGTGTGGCTCAGTTGGTTGGAGTGTCATCCCATGCACCACAGGTGCATGGGTTCGATTCCCAGTCAGGGCACATACCCCGGTTGTGGGTTCGATCCCAGGTTGGGGCCTATGCGGAGGCAACCAATCAATGTTTCTCTCACACATTGATGTTTCTCTCTATCTCTCTCCCTCCCTCTCTCTCTAAAATCAATTTGAAATTTTCTTTTCTAAATAAAAGAAAATCCTAAGGTTCATCTTAGGATTTCACATTGTCACAAATCTCCAAAAAATTTCCAATATATTCCTCAAAAACAACCTGTGTATAAGTGGACCCATGCAGTTCAAATCCGTGCTGTTCAAGGGTCAACTGTAGTTTGCTGCTTCCACTGTGTTGGCCCTGATTCCCAATTACCAAGTGAAAACTGTATTAAGTGAGAGTCACTAGGAGCTGAATGAACATCTCAGGGCCTAGTTTATTTTTTTTTTTAAAAAAATACATTTTATTGATTTTTTTACAGAGAGGAAGGGAGAGGGATAGAGAGTTAGAAACATCGATCAGCTGCCTCCTGCACACCTCCTACTGGGGATGTGCCCGAAACCAAGGTACATGCCCTTGACCGGAATCGAACCTGGGACCTTTCAGTCCACAGGCCGACGCTCTATCCACTGAGCAAAACCGGTTCCGGCGTCAGGGCCTAGTTTAGACGGGGACTTTGCGATACCAGTTTTGAGAGCTCAGAGGCCTTCGTGCTCATTTTGGCATCCAGCCATTCAGAGGAAGCCCACCACCAACTCACCTGGCACATCCGTTGACCTCCCTGCACCACTGGGAATAAGGATTGGGAACAGGTGCTCAGTGGGGAGACCTTCCTGGCCCTAATATACTCAGCACCACGGGTGCCCCAGGTGAAGCTGCCGGGAGCCGCCTGGGGGCGGGCCCGCACTCACATGGTGAAGTTCTCCTCCAGGAAGCAGCGGTTGCGCAGCAGGCCGGCCCAGAGCTGCACGCCGATGATGCCGAAGATGAAGAAGACGAAGAAGCAGAGCAGCAGGACATTCCCCAGCATGGGCAGCGTGTCCAGGAGCAGGTTCACCAGGATCCGCATACCTGCAGGGGAGGGGAGGGGGTGGTCAGACAGGGAGCAGAGGGCCCGAAGAGGAGCCGGGAGAGCAGGGCGCGAGAAACAGAGAGGGGAGTGGGAGGGAAGGTGGAGCCACGCGGCCCAGACCTTCTCCTTGGTATCTGCCCCTCCCCCCGGGGGCCATGGAAACGGCTCTGGGCCCCACCACACTTCCTCTAGAGCAGTGGTTCTCAACCTTCCTGATGCTGCGACCCTTTAATACAGTTCCCCATGTTGTGGTGACCCCCAATTTCATTGTTACAAATTGAACATAATTAAAGCATAGTGATTAATCACAAAAACAATATGTAATTATACATGTGTTTTCCGATGGTCTTAGGCGACCCCGGTGAAAGGGTCGTTCGACCCCCCAAAGGGGTCGCGACCCACAGGTTGAGAACCGCTGCTCTAGGAAGCAGCGCAGGACAGTCCCTGCCGGGCTGCTCCCCCGGGCCCAGCCTTTTTGCTCAATTAATTACATTTCCCTTGTTCTCCAGGATATTAAAATTCTGAAAGGCTCCTGAAAACCTGCCCGGCTGACTTCCCTGAATGGCAGCTGATCCCTCCTCCCTCCCACCTCCCTCTATTGAGCTGGGCCCCAGCTCACTGTCCTCCCTGGGGCCCCGGGAGTCCCAGGGCCACGGAGCCAAGGCATAATTAGCTAATTAGGAACTGAGAACAAATCCATCATTTCCGTGCGAGGGACAGCGAGCCATGGAATTAGGGACTCCAGGAGGACTCGTGAGACCCTAGCTAATCCTCTTTTTATGCCCACAGTCAAGGAATTAGCCAAGGCACTGGGCACAGGAGATGGAGGCAGAGAGAGGAGAGAGAAACAAAAAGACAGATAAAGAGAACGTGAAGAGACAGAGAAACATGGAGACAGAGGACAGAAATGGAGAGAAAGAGAAACAGACAGAAACACAGAGGCTGCCTTCAAGACCTGCCACCATCTGCTTCAGACCACTCCTCTCCCTCCACATCTTCCCCTTGCCAAGTCCTCCTCCTCCAGGCAGTCTTCTCGGATTCCCACCCCCAGTTAGCCATGAAGCCCTCCTGGAGCTTACTCGGCTCTGCTCTCCTAGTGACTGTTCTGGCCTTTAGCCTAGCGTAGGAGCCAGGTGGGCCTTGACGGGGGGCAGTCTGCAGGCAGGGAGAGAGTATGGCGTGTCCTGTGGGTGGCACCAGGGTAGAGACATTCTCTGGATGGCATTTATTTTACTTTTAAATATTTTTTATTGATTTCAGAGAGGAAGGGAGAGGGAGAAAGGAATAGAAACATCAGTGATGAGAGAGAATCATTGATTGGCTGCCTCCTGCACGCCCCACACTGGGGATCGAGCCTGCAACCTGGGCATGTGCCCTGACCGGGAATCGAACCGTGACCTCCTACTTCATAGGTCAACACTCAGCCGCTGAGCCACACCAGCCGGGCTGGATGGCATTTAAAGTCAGGAGCTGGGAGGAGACGGATGACAGATGGGCAAACTGCTGGAGCCGCTCAACCACTTCACCCCTTTTCACCCGGGACCCCAGACAGGACCCTCTGTTCTAAGGGGGCCCTTTGGTGGCAGATGGGGACCTGGGAGGAGATGGGGGATGTGCTTCCTGACTGGCACCGCCCCTGGAGGTCCCGGTGCTCTCCGCAGACAGGAGCTGCCAGCCCAGATCAGCGCGGCCGCTCTGCCAGGCCCGCTCATGCAGAAACAGCCGGACTCGCAACAGCCTCAGCCGGGGGCACAGCCCACAGCCAAGAGGGGGGCAGTCAGGCCAAGGGCAAGGCAGCCAAGGCTGCAGCCTGACCATGGGGCTCCCCTCTCCCTCTGGTCTAGCCAGGTGAGTGGAGGGTGCTGAGTGGCCAGGAGGGGCCGAATGCTGCTCCTGCCACTGCCAACGCCAACTATGGTGGGTGCCCAGGAGGTCGGGCCAGGCAGCATACGACCCAGCCCGAGGGCACAGCTGCTGTCCCAGCCCAGCTGGGGGCGACGGTGAGCTGATGAGGGGCCTCAGAGCCCACACCCCAGGCAAGGAGTGTGCACCCTTGCACCCTCCATCCCAGGAGAGGCCTTGGGTTCCTTCCCAAGGTCATCACGCTCATGCCCTCGGGTGTGGGTCTGGCCCATGTCCCACTGAAGGTGCCCACAGCCACCGTAGCACAAAGATCTATTCATTCTTCAAACGCCCTCCCCACCCAAAGTACATGGGGTCCTTCCCCGTGGCCCCCGCTGCCTCCATTAGAACACATGTCCCACTGGCCCACACGGCTGCCTACAGCAGTGGTTCTCAACCTGTGGGTCGCGACCCCGGTGTGGGTCCGGCCCATGTCCCACTGAAGGTGCCCACAGCCACCGTGGCACAAAGATCTATTCATTCTTCAAACGCCCTCCCTGACCCAAAGTACCTGGGGCCCTTCCCCAGGGCCCCCGCTGCCTCCATTAGAACACGTGTCCCATGGCCCACACATCTGCCTGCAAGAAGGGACTGGGGTGCCTACATGCTCAAAGGAGAGAAAGGGGGTCATGAAAAGGAGCAACACGCTCAGGTTGTGCAAGCACAGGTTCCAGCCCTGGCTCTGCTCCTGGCCAGCTGGTGGCCTCCGTTTCCCCATCTGTAAAGGGGGCCAGGATCCTAGGGCTGTCGTGGAGATGAAATAACCTCACCCTGTAAAGCACCCTGGCGGTTTGTTGTAAGCACCCGATACATTGTAGCCATTTATCATTCGCAGGACTTTTCTGGAAGATTCGGAAGGTCACTCCCGCTCGGCCCACCTGCAGTCCCTCTGCCAGGGCCACACAACTCCCAGGCCGGCTCCTCCTCTGCCTTTGCTGTGGGGGTTGCCTGCCAGGAACACCCCCTTAACCTTCATGCACTTGGTGAGCATCTTCCAAAACCCGGATCCGAAAAGGTGTCCTGAGCCTCCACCCTCAACGCTCCCAGCACCTCTTCATAATAACAGCACCGACTAACCACTTACTGCGTGCAAGGCTCCCCGCTAAGCTCTTTACACACATTACGGCATTGCACCCTTTCAAAACCACATGGAAATTGGTATTACTAACCCCATTTTATCGTGGAGAAATGGAGGCCCAGAGAGGAGCGTGGCTTGCTTGCAGCCAGTGGAGGGACTGACAACGCAAAGCAAACCTCCAGTTCCTGGGCCTGCAGCTGGGGCGGGACAGCGGCCTTCCCCCAGCTCGTCAGCTCTGCTGCCCTGCCCATGGGCCTGCCCTGGGAGCTCGCTGTCCACCTCTGCACCGCCCACCCCAGGCCCAGCCCAGAGGCCTCTGCCTGGAGATGAGCTGTTGCTGATCCAGGGATTGTGGCTGGACGGGGACCTTGGGGGTGGGCAGTGGCCCAGGCCAGGCTCAGCATCTCTCCCAGCTGCCCCTGAGCTCCCCAGGCCTCCGTACCCGCCGCCACCACAGCCTGGGCTGGGGTGTGCTGTGGCCAGATGTACATGGGGCCAGCAGCTCAGACTCCGCCGGCTCAGGCCTTCGCAGTGACTGCCCTACTTTCTCACTGGAGAAAAAACAACCTTTCGTATTTAAATGGCTGGGCCAGTAGGCTTTGGGAGGCACTACACAGGCTTAAGGGGTATGTAGGCCAGGCAAGGCAGGAGCCACCGGGTGCCAGAAGGGGGCACTTTTATTTATTTTTTTTAATATATATATTTTTTATTTCAGAGAGGAAGGGAGAGGGAGAGAAAGATAGAAACATCAAAGATGAGGGAGAATCATTGATTGGCTGCCTCCTGCACACCCCACACTGGGGATCAAGCCCACAACTGGGGCATGTGCCCTGACCAGGAATCAAACCGTGACCTCCTGGTTCACAGGTTGACCCTCAACCACTGAGCCACGCCGGCCGGGCAGAGGGGGCGCTTGTAGAGATAATCCAGCCCCATCGTGCCAAGGCCCAGAAAGAGCCAGCGACGTATGAAAGGTCACACAGCAACAAACCAGAGCCCAGCCTCTTGACGCAAAGTCCCGTGTTTCCTTCTCTCCGTCCTGCCTCCTTTCCTTTACCCATCAATGGGTGAGCGGCCGGGACAGAGACCTTCAAGGGTGGGCTGGAGGGACACCCTTTGCAGGGTTTCATAAGGAGCACCATGACTTCCAGGTCCCCGACCCATCCTGCACAACGTTTAAAACCACGCATCTAGTCGAACCCTGCCCCCTGCTTTGTGCAAGGGGGGGAACTGAGGCCCAGGGACCCTCGGGGGCTCCCCAGGTCACACCGCATGCTCCTGGCAGGGCTGAAAACCAGGACTTGCGCTCCTGACAACCCCACTGAGTCTCCCTGGTGGGTCTTGTTCTTAAACTACTTTTTAAACGGCAGGCAGCCACCCGGCTCTCCACAGCTGTGTAACTAGTAACCTGTCATTTGACTTTGCCCTTTCCCAGCTCTCCAGCCTGCCATCTAGTGGCGGACGTGAAAGCTACGGCTGCTGTTGAGAAGATGAGTCTCGGGGTGAAAGCCGCTCTAAGGAGGCGACCTTCAGAGGCACTTCGGGGAGCCTGTGTCCCCCTCACGCATCCCCTGGTGACTCGGGCAGAGGGCATGCGCCTGGGCACCCAGCTGCCCCTCCTGCCAACGGGGAGCTGGATCAGTGGGCCTGCTCCAACCGCCTGAGGCTCCTGTCAATTAAGTTACTCAAGAATATGACTTTACCTCAGGTCCCCTTTCCAGGGGAGCAGGGGGTGTTTCTAGATCAGGGGAGGGAGTGTGTCGGTTATATTGCGGGTCCCAGCGTGTCTGGGCTCCCAACACGCGCCTCGCCAGTTCTGAGAGAAGATTCATTTGTGAACCGGCTGAGAGGCGGACCCAGCTAAGGGCGGACACAGGCACTCCCATCTCCCCACTTGAGCCTCCAGGGCCCCTATTAGCAGGCGGGGGGCCCCTGAGGAAGGACCCCAGCCCTCTGCAGGCCTGGTCCCTGCAGCCTCCAAAATAAGAGCCTCCAGGTTCTCTGGAGAACCAGGCAGGCTGGCGGGAGGGACTTGAACGTGACCTCCCGCCCCAGCTGGTTTGGCTCAGTGGATAGAGCGTCGGCCTGCCGGACTGAATGGTCCCAGGTTCGATTCCAGTCAAGGGCACGTGACCAGATTGCAGGCTTGATCCCCAGTAGGGGGCGTGCAGGAGGCAGCCCATCAATGATTCTCTCTCATCACTGATGTTTCTATCTCTCCCTCTGGATCAATAAAGATATATTAAAAAAAAAAAAGAAAGTGACCTCCACAGCCAGGAGCCATCCAATGAGCTCCCACACAGTGGGAGAGGGAGGGAGGGAGACACACGTGCCCACGTGCCCCATGTGTGTTCATGTCACATGTGCACACACCCCTATGTGCACATTCCTCACATGTGCACACTCACATTTGCACACCCCACACACACGCACACACCTTCACATGTATATACCCCTCAGATGTACACACATACCTTTACATGAGTGCACACAGCCACATGTGCACACACGTGTGCACACTCATTCACATGTGCATACCCCTCACGTGTGCACACACCCCTCATACGTGCACACACACCCCACATGTGCACACCCTTCACATGTGCACACCCATTCACATGCGCATACCCCTCACGTGTGCACACACCCCTCATACGTGCACACACGCTCACATGTGTGCACAGCCTCACATCTATACATGCACCCACATGTGCACACACCCCTCACGTGTACACACACACCCCACATGTGCACACCCTTCACATGTGGGTGGGTGATAAAGCTCAAGTTCGAAGTCACTTAGCACAAGTGAGGGAGCCTGGGGACCCTCCTTGGTGAAAAGCTGCACAAGGTCCTCCCTCACACTACGCAGCTCCGTTCCACACCTGGCGCGCTGTGGCCGCCGCCTCCCCCAGGAGCCTCGCTCCTGAAAGCCAGGCTCCCCAGCGCCCTGCAAGCTTCAGGCCCAATACTGGCCTGTGAGCCCTGTGGGAGCAGGACCGACACCTGTCCGGTCACTGGGGGTCCCCTGCCCAGCACAAGCCTGGCCCCGAAAGGGTGAATGGGGTCTCTAGGGGCCAGGGGGGCGGGGCGCCAACTCACTGGGCACACGGTTGATGGCTTTGAGGGGCCTCAGGACACGCACGGTGCGGATGGCCGACAGGTTGATGTTCTGAAGGTCCAGCGAGTACTCCACCATCCTGTGGAGAGAGGGGAAGATGAGGACGGTGCAGGAGGGCCAGGCAGGGCCACAGGCCGGACCACAGTGGCCCCTGGCCACCCACACCCACCCATGTGTGCCCACGCCTGCCTGGGAAGGTAAGTAGGAAAAGGAGGTCAGAATCCAGGCGGTGCCCAGTCCACTGTGTGGCCCCGAGCTGTCTCCTCCTCTGAGAGGGGGTGCGGGGCTGGTGACACCACCCTCCCAGGCTGCCCTGAGGATCAGGAGTTGTTGCTGGGGACAGAGGGATGGAGGGGCCGAGGCCTGGGTCCCCACTGTGGGCCAGCAGTGGGCCGGTGGCTCCCGCCCCGCCTCCGGAGCAGCCTCTGGCCCAGGGAGGGTCAGCCCCATTCCTCAGAGGGAGGACTGAGCAGCGGAGGTCGCTGGGCTGGCCCTGACGGCAGCTGGACGTCACGGTCCTCATCTCTGTCCACTGGAACCTTCTTTACGCTTAAGGTCCCGTGCAGTTGCCCTGACGTCCACACTGAGCCAGGCAGCGAAGGGGAAAGTGAGCCCGAGAATGACTCAGACCCGGCCCTCCCCTCAGCAGTACCCACTCGGCACGGGAGAGACTCAAACCGGAGCCCTCACCATGACCCTGGTTTTCTTCCTCGGGGGGCCCCCCAAACAGGTCCACCCTCCCTCTGCAGCTCCATGGCATCAGATCTCCACAGGCAGCAGAACTCCGGGTCCCCTCTGCGGTTCCCTACCCTTCCACCAGATCCTACCTGCCCCCCACCCCCACCCCACTGCCCCAGCGCCTGCAGCCCCAGCCTGACCCAGCCCCACTCACCAAACCTTTCCCCCAACCTCCCACCCCCACCCCAGGGCTCCAGCACGGAGGCCGGCTCCACCTGCCACCACCGTCATCAGCAGGAAATGAAGGCTTTTTCCACGCACCATGCAAACCTGTCCGATTGTTGTAAAGCCTCCACCCCCTCCTGCTGCTTGAAGAGTAATTGAGTGAAAGCTTCCTTTGCCTGAAATGCCTCATCCATCCCCCAGCTTTCTAGGGCACAGGCTCTGGTTCAGCTCGCTTGCTCTCTCTCTCTCTCTCTCTCTCTCTCTCTCTCCCCCCCCCCCCCCCCCCCCCAC